AACAAACGAGAATCTCTACATGAACAAGATCAACTCACCACACTTTTCGACGACATAAAGTTCACCAGCCAGCGACAACTCGCAAAGTAGGCAAATGGAAACCATACGTGTTTTGAAAATTAGACTTGCGTTTATGTCCCAATAAATGTCAGCCGAATATTACTTCCCTTACTTTTTTGTTCATAGGCAGTCCATGAAAGACATAAATTCCCTCCGTCTCCCGCAATTGTATTTTAATTTGTGATGCGGCGATGGTCTGTGGTGGTAATGAGAATTGTATAGCCCTTCTCATTCATGGTAAGAACAAATTGCTTACGTTTCAGAGCCAGACAGATTATAAACGACCTTCAAGACAGACTGGAGGAAAAAGAGAAAGCTCTCGATAACACCAACGAGGACCTTAAGGTCAGCGACGCCTTGCTGCTGGACATCCAATCCGGCATTGCAACGTTGAACGAGAAACTGAAGGATGTCAAGCTCAAGCCAGTAAGTCGTATAGTATTTCTTGTAGTACGAAACTTCACATTACTTTGAGTTGTCCGGGTGACGTTTTGCTAAACGGACCCTACCTACCAAATGCGCCCAACACAGTTTCTTGTTAAAAGGTTTTGTCTTTGGCAGAGGTGCTGTGTAACGGATCTGTGTTTTACTGTTATACTGAACGACAATCTTAAACATGTAAGGATAAGAATACTCACCACTGCTTTTCATCTTGTACTATATTATTATTGTGATTATCTGAATTACATGACACAGGTTAGTCGTTTCACATATATCATGCATATATCATGCCTTTCTCTGTTCCCGACACTCAACAGCCGTTCCACAACTACATAACGGGCGACCCTGCCAAGGACCTCGTCAACTGTGCCCGGAAGTTAGACGAGCTACAGACTAATCTCGGGTTCCAGGGCGGAGAGGGAACAACGCCCCGTGTAGACCAAAACAAGGTACACCATATCTTAATTGTCAATGTTGTTTCATAGTAACAGACCAGGGCCCGTATTCATGAAACTGTTCTCATGCTTAAGCATGGATTTTGTGCTCAGGCCTAATTTTTTGTTCGTGTTATAACTTAACAAATAAATCTCATTTTGTCAATAACTTGTAAACATTTTGAAGAGACTTAAGATCTAAGAGAGTAACAAACTAGTTGGTTTGAGCACAGAATACATACTTGGGCGTGAGAACGGTTTCGTGAATAAGGGGCCTGGGTACATCTTGCCCCGGTTGCTCAAAAATAGTTTGGTGTTAACCATGCAGTGGATAAGGAACATTCTGAAATATTAATACAACAAAAGCAAGGACATCTGATAGCATTTCACTGTAATAGATTTGTTGAGATTATAAGATTGATGTATTTTAAGCATTGAACTGTTTTCGGTTGGCATTCATAGGCATTATGAATGCCAACTGGACAGATGCAAATTCAATGTAACGCTTTACGTTGGATTTGCCTTTGTCTTGTTAACATTCATATTATTGACCATGAATGCCAACCGAGAGCAGTTCAATACTTACCCTTTTTGAATCAGTTCATCTCATAGAAAGTTCAAGTACACTTATTATTATTCAGCATCAAGTTGAATGCCGTCATAATAATGATGACGTCAACATTCGGCTAAGGGCATGCATAGCCCAATGAATGCCATCTGCATGATGCAGGGTTATATAGTGGAAATGCCATGGGATGGTTAATATTACGCAATACAATGTTTAGAAACTTGGCCGATCGACTCGCTGTGACATATTATTCAATACCGTTTCTTAAATAACATGAAAAAAACCCATAACTTTTGTTGTGATTATAATTATTTCGTCGCAGCTTCACGAATACCTAGAGAGCCGTTTGCCACCGTCTAACATCCGGATAAAAGTCGATGTGGATGACGGAAGTGATGAGGACGACTTCCATTTCGACCACGACCAGGAAAACGAGGGTCTGTTGTCGCGGGAGGACGTCAAGCGGTTAGGGCAAGAAATGCTCAACTCCAAACTCAAACCAAAGAAGAAACGATCTAAAAAACGCGCGAACTAGTGCACCAGCAGACGTCATCAGGGGAGGGTTGTGATGGTTATGTTGTATTTGGAAACCTCTGATTTTTATCTATCAAATTTCGGCCCTTTTTTA